AAAAAAAAAAAAAAACAGAAATATTTTGTAGATTATTTGCTCTGCTCATGTACAAAACAAGTGCATGTACTCTTACCTGTTTGGTTTCCATGTAACATGCTTGAAATTCTGCCTTGTGCATGAGATATGGAGATATGTTTGCACATCTGTAGTAGAGATTGGAGGAAGACACAAGTGCCCTAAACAAACAAAGGAAAGAAACAAAAGATGCTTAAGTTGTTTTCGGCTAAGACTAAGCTTAGTATTAGAATATCACTTGTAAGTTGTCCACATTTAAAATTGTCTAACTTATAAAACTAGTGGACTACTCTTCCTACCACCAATTGGTTTTGGGATGAAATCCTACTATGGTGAATCTAGGCTCACCTCCGTATGGTGCACTTCATGTGCGTGGGAACGCAACCGTATGCCCTTGATTCTTTCAATTAGAACCCAGAGACAACTTTAACAATCCTGGGCTTACTCCACCTGACAAGAATAAGCACTGCAAAAGTTAGACTACCACTGCACCCAATGGAGCCTAATAGTCCAACCAAAACTTACAAACACAACCAAAAGAACAACAACAACAACAACAGAACAAAGTCACACTAACTAGCCAAAAAAAAAATAAAAAAAAATAAAAAAAAAAAATTAACAAAGATCTTTGAGCTCCTGCCAATCTGCCACGACAATATCTACGACATCTTTACCTTCCCTTCTCAGCCCTTGGAACATCCAGAGATTTAAGGTCTTCCAAAGCCACCAAAGAAGATAGATTGAGAGCTAGATTCTATCTACTGAGGTGGCAGTAGAAGATAGAGAGCAAACTGCATTCCACCAGGCTTTGAAATTTTTGGTTTTATCACCAAGACCATCCCAACTAATTGGAGCAACTTTCCATAATACTTTGGCTTGAGGACATAGAAACGACACATATTTCAGATTTTCTGGTCCTCCACAGCTTTTGCAGATTACCTCAATTTCAGACCCCTTTTGATGATGTTGTTAACAAGGAGTGTAGTAACAAGACTAGATGAAATGTTTGAATTTACCTTTGATATTGAGCCCCCAGAATCTCTTCCTGACTTTTTTAAATCATCTTTACTGCTTCACGGATGTGAAGTTTGCTCCATTTGGTGTCAATCAACTTTGCATAATACGAGGCTACTGAAAAGTTTTTTACGCTGTTCTTGGGTCCATCCTATTGATTTGTAGTATAACTTGTAAGTCTGTAGCTGTGAAGTTGGTCTTCATGGTTTCTATATTCCAGTTCCTCCTAGTTGAATCCAGCAGATCCTTAACTTTATGATAAATGAGAAGTAGAAGGAATTTTCTCAGGCATGAATCTAGGTACTCCAGGGATCCAAGGGTTGTCCCATATCTGAACAGAAGTGCCATCATTGATTTTGAATTTAGCTCTAATATGGGATACCGTAGCGGGTAGGGCTGGGCACGGTTCGGATACTCGAGTTTGTTGAGGTATTTGCTAACCGAACCGAACCGAGCAAATATTCGAACTTGTTAACCGAAACCGAACCGAAAATCTCGGTTAACCGAAAAAAATCCTACTATTTGCAAATTAACCGAACCGAATCGAACTGAGCAAACCTAACACAAATCTGTGTTAGGTTTGCTCGGTTCGATTCGGTTCGGTTCGGTTAATTCGCGAATAGCCATACCAACAAGTTAGTTTAATATATATAAATATAATATATAATATATAATATATAATATAATATATATTTTATAAATTTTAATATAATATGCGATTCAGTTCGGTTCAGTTAACCGGGGTAAAAAATCCTAAAAACCGTAACCGAACCGAACCGAGCAAATACTTCCTTTGAGGTATTTGTAACCGAACCGAGTACCCCGGTTAACTGAAAATTCGGTTCGATTTCGATTCGGATCTACGATTCAGCGGTTCAGTTCGAATTTTTTGCCCAGTCCTAGTAGTGGGTCACCCAGACCCGAAAATTAGACAATCAAACCGAACGGGCCGACCGATCGAGCTGAGGCTGTCAGTTGACCTAAGTGTGGCTTCAAGTCCGTGGGGCCTATAACAGGAGCAGATTGAACAGAAGAGTTCGTCTTGATCAACGGTTATTGGACGTGGATGGACTCTAATCGAGGGATCGACCTCCGAGGTGGTATATGAGCTGAGGGGGAGGTGTCTCTACCTGGTGGCGTGGGGGGTTGGTCCTATAAGTGGACCCTCTAACAAGGAAACGAAATGATAAGAAGGAATCCTAGAACAACTTGGGCAACAACGGTAGCAACTTGGGCAGCAGGTAAAGAGTGAGATAGTTTCATTTAGACTCTACAATCTATAAACACTCTCCACATTCTCTATACCCTTATATCATGCACTTCATTTTTTTCAAGTTCTAACTTAAACTTCGGATGCTCCGAAAACCCCTCTCTGTATTGAGTTCTTGCAGGTGAGGAAGCCGTCCGAGGTAGAGAAGGTCGCAGTTCTTTGTGTTATGCCGAGCAGAAATCCGAGTGAAGTCCATTTCACCATTATTAGAAGATTATAGGGGATGCCATACAGGGTCATCCAAAGCTGGAACTAGGCAAAAGAACTGGGTAGACTGACAGATCGAGCTAGGACTCAAGGTTCGACCTGAATGTGGCATCAGGTCGATGGTGGTCTTCTAGACTCAAGGTTCGACATGAATGTGGTGTCAGGTCGATGGTGGTCTTTTAGAGTTAATGTTTGACCTAAAAGTGTAAGTGGTCGAAAAAAGTGGTGCCAGAATAGATTCTGGGGGAGCTTGAATATTGTGGTTGACTAAGAGTATGCAAGAGTACAAAATTTCAAATTCAAATCTTTGAAGGGGACGGTTGAAAAACGGTGGGATATTAATATGTCAAGTACATAGATCGAGCCGCAACAAATGGAGGGCAACAACGAAGAGCCGAGGATAATCAAACATACTCTTGGATCGAGCTATCCTAGCCCGACCAGAGTGGGGAGACTAGATGATATGGGATACCATACCGGGTCACCCAGACTCGAAAATTAGAAAACCAAACCGGACTGGTCCGCAGGTTGAGCTAAGGTTGTCAGTCAACCTGAGTGTAGCGTCAGGTCGATGGGGTCTTTGACAGGAGCAGATGGCATGGAAGAGTCCGGCCTGACGGACGGCTTTTTGACGTGGAGGGACTCTGATCGAAGGATCGACCTTCGAGATGGTACATGAGCTGAGGAGGAGGTGTCTCTACCTGGTGACGTGGGGGTTGGTCCTACAAGTAGATCGTCTAACAAAGAAAACCAAAAGATAAGAAAGAATCTTAGGACAACTTGGACAACAAGGGTAGCAACTTGGGCAGCAGGTAACCCACTCCTATGAATAGGCTGCATGGTAGTTTATGTAGAAATATTATGCGCATACTTAATTTAGTAACCTATATTTAGCTCAAAATTGTTATTTTTTATCTTAATTTGGTATCCTAACAACGTGGGGAGCCAATTTCTTTACAAACCACTGTTTTGTTTTTGGCTTAACTGTGAATGGATGTTAATTTACAAAGTAAAAAAAGGTGAATTTATATGAAAATGCTATGTAGCAGCTGAGCCAATGGATCATAAAAATTTCTCTAATTCCTTGCACTATACATAGTATCCAAAGTTAGAATGTGAAACACAACAGAGAAGTAAGAAAAGAGATTGAGAGAGGCTTTCTAAAGAAGAAAAAAGAATGACAATGGCTGACATTGCCACCAAAGAAACAAAGAATGAAGAGATGAAGAAGAATAATCGAATTCAAGTGTCCAATACCAAGAAACCACTTTTCTTCTATGTCAATCTTGCAAAGGTTAGATATGAAATTTTTGCGTGTTTTATATTTATCATTTATTACACCAAGACCTCTTTTTACTTACCAGAAAGGATATGATAACATTCCTTAACGAACCTTATCCGATGTTTATTAACTGGGATCAGGATTAGGATAAATCCTATGTGGCATGTATGTGTCAGGTGGGCACACGTCTGTACTTATGACTGACAGGATAATTTTATCGTATCTTGAGAGTGAGATATTTTTATCCCAACGCAAAGATGGTCGTTTTGTTCAAAAAAATCACATATATGATATCCATTATACCCCTGAGTAAAGCTGACTCATGAGATAAAAGTTGACTCATGGGATGAAACCATCCTATCTCATCCCTTCAAGTAAACGAGGCCCAAAGGAACAGTATGTTTATTATTCACTTTTTGGAATGCAGAGGTACTTACAGCAACATAAAGAGATTGAGCTTTCAGCATTGGGCATGGGTAACATTTTCAATCACTTTCTTTTTGCAGTTTTCCTAATCTAGATTCTTCTTTGAAAAAAAAAAATATGTTTATTAGAAACATAAATGTCTTTTCTATTTTCAATTGGGAAAATCTTATTGTTTGAGAATTGTTTTGAATTGTCCTTGCAGCTATCACTACAGTTGTAACAATATCTGAAATTCTTAAGAATAACGGATTTGTCAAGGAGAAAAGTGAGTAAATCAATTTATTTATTTATTTATTTATTGGTTTTAATATATGGATTAAAATAAAACTACACAATCAAAATGATAACAAACACTCTTATCATGAATCATGAAAGGCATTTTGACATCCACGGTTGGAACTAAAGATTCAACCAAAGGACGCACGGTTCATAAAGCTAGGGTGAGTATCTTCTACTTAATGGATACATTCTGCAAATTTTATACCAATTTGCATTTCAATTTATGATCACATTTTACCATATACCTAGGTGAAAATTTTAGTACATTTTTGCCAAGTTATTTTATGAATTTAAATGATGATTCAAATAGTTTCAATGGTTAGATTAACGGTCCACATATAAACCAAGAATAATTTATCGATCTATTTATACTTATTGTCGTTTTCAGATCGAAATTGTTCTCGAGAAGTCTGAAAAATTCGACTCCCTAATGGCTACAACACAGAATGCAAATGCAAATGCAAACGCAAATGGCAAAGCCAATGGTGAAGTTAAAAAGTAGCAGTAGCAGTAGCAGTAGCACCAGCATATTTGTGTCCTCTTGTACTCTATTGTACATTGCGGTTTCTGCATTGTACCTCGGTTTATATGCAAGGATACCCAACACTTGTATAATTAATAAAATTTCAGTACCTCAACTACATTATGTTAAATTTCACAGGACAGTTTTTAAAGTTATGGAATGGAAGCTCAAGATCTCCTGTGTAAAAAATGTAATTGAAGTTGTATATGTCTATACATACCACACACACACACACACACACACACACACACATACAGAGAGAAAGAGAGAGCAAATGCAGAGAGCCCCAAAAATCATCACAAAAACTCAGTACTTTTCTATGTCAACATACCATACTTCCCAATTCCAGAATACACCTCAATGTATCAATGCACGAATTTCACTTGAACCGAACACAATTTCCTGCAGACGAGCCACTATTTCACGAAACAGATTTGAGTTAGTCCAGTCCGATTCCCTCTACAGAAGCTCATCATTATCCTAATCGGAAGTCGACAAGTCAGCTTGCTGGGCTTCAGATGGCCCAAGCTGGGACGCGAGCTCCCGAACCAATTTCTCCTTCTCAGCAAGCAGAATATTAGCCTTCTGCAGCGCCTCCCCATCGTACTCAGCTTGTTCCTCCATCATTCTCAAGTACTGCAGAGCCTCCATATGTAAAGCCGCTTTTTCCTCCTGCAGTCGAGTAATCATGGCCATTGCCTGGCTGGCAGCAACTGCCGAGGCACTTCTCTCCTCCTCTAGCTCCCGATACAGACCCGAAATTATTCGCCTGTCATGCTCAACCTGTCGTTTTAATCTGTCCACCGAGCTCTCGCCCTCGATTTCACTCAATGTGGTTCCATCGAGGGATAATCCGGACTCGTTCCTCTCGAGCGAGATTCGCCTCTGGATCGTTTGGTCTTCACTGTTAGCGGCTGATAACTGGGACAGCAGGAGTTTCAGGTCCTCACTGGCTCTAGTTGACTCAGCCATTGACTTCTGTTGTTCTAGGAACTTTCCGGAAAGTTGTCTGCCTCGGGTGCCAGTGACCGCTAATCTGTAAGCATCACCGAGGTCGAGAGATTGCGGCTTGTTGGTCTCCGGTCTTGAAGCATTCGTGGGATCTAATGTGAAAAGGATAAAAAAAATGTCAGATTCGTGAAAATTGTGACTATTACTGATACAGTGAGGGAAGTTATAAAAATGAAAAAGAAACAAAATTGAGCAAATCCAAACATTCAAAAACATGCTCATAATTTCAGAATAATGAGTTCTGTAATGTATTATTTTCTGTGACTTCTTGATAGGTAGAGTGAATAAACATAAGTGCATTTCAGACAACAGCATATACACTTCTAAATGACAAAAAAAGCGCAGCTCGTCAAATTCAATGTGTGCTCATTGATGGATGCAGAGAGACACAGAATACACTTTTCTTTGACTTACCAGGTCCCTTGGATTCATCATATTGGGTCCCATCAATATCCGGAGATGGAAGAACCTCTGAAAAGGATATAGTCTCGTATGGTTTGCAAATGTCATTATTATGGTCACCTTGCTTCCACTTCATTTCCCCCGATCCATGCTCAAGGGCTGCCTTGGGTTCTACAGTATGACGTGAATCGGTAGGGTCCACAGATTTGTAAAATGAAGTTTTGACTTGAGGAGGAGCTGGAGCATCATCAGCCATAGACAGAACTTGAGGTTCTGTGGATAAATACTTAGTCTCTAAATCTGGGCCCAATATCTCCACCTCACGTATAAGTGTGTCGGCACTTTGTGTATCCGAAAATCGGCTTTCTGACCCAGAATCAGAAGTGCCCTTAACCTTTGTATACCCCAAATGCGGAAATTGCGCATCAGGTCCCTGAGGACTGATTGATATGCTCTGAGACAACTCGCAGGCCCAAGTTCTTGAAACCCATTGTTCGTTGCAACAAATGCATTTTCTCAAACCACTTTCGACCAGGCCATCATGAGGCACAGCTCCCATCTCGCCTACCACAAATCTGTACGTCTCGGAATTCGACTTGTTTAAAATGCAGCTCTCACACGTTTCGTGTACATCAACCAGGTTATTGTGAGTTCGGCAAAGGAATAAAGATGAGATCTTTAGCTTGTGGCTTTGGCAGATTAAATCCCTGTACAAATTAAAGCTCTCGCTCGAGCACAGCAAACACGGGATTTGCAGCTGGCAGTAGCGTGCAAATCTTGTGACCAACTGCCAAAACCCAGCATTGAGAATAATCAAAAACATCAGCATCCACTCGAAAACTGCCCAAACCAAAGCCGAGACAATAGTCACCGTAATTTTCGGCCCGGCTTCGGTAGCTTGGACCCGCCTCACGTCCATTAGCACGAATGAATCCTCCAAGAATGGAGCTCGTAACACACACTCCAATACAACAGTGATCAATGATGAATTTCAGTACTGTGGCAAAAATAAAAGAAAAAAGAACACATATTCTCAGTAAAGATTCAGATTTCCATTGAAGTATTCAACTCAAAATACGACCAGTACAACACTACGGCCCGATAAATTACTTCCCAAAATATCGCACAAATAAGAAACTAAAGCAAGTAGGACGAAAGAGGGGGAAAAAGTCAACCTTTTGAAAGGATCACATTCACATAACCCTGAAGTTATCAGTGCCCATACACACACACACACACATACACACACACACACACACACACACACCAATCCATCGATAATCAACAAGAACTCAAAAGCAAGTGGAAAAAGAAAAGAAAAGAAAATTACCAACCAGCGGAAAGGGCAGTTCGAGCAACCTCGACCAAGATTCGATCACGAAGAAAACACGGCAAGATTCAGACAACCAAAATCAAGGCTCATACACATCTGTATTGGATGGCTTATGAAGCCGTAACAGTTAATTGACCCAAAAAAGAGGTGCGCATACTTTTCAGGGATGGGAATGGTTGGAAAAGAATGTCAAAATAATCGAAAAAGGACAAAAAACCGACAGTGACCAAGGAAGAGTCGGCTGGCAACTTGGGACTGTCGAACCGAAAGGTGGCCACCCTTCACGCCCACCCCATGTTAGAACCTTTACAATGTAATAAATAAATGCTTTTTTTGCCCTTCACGGAGTATTAAATTCCAGCAAAGATGATGATCGATTGCAAGTTTTGGATAGAGACTAGAGTTTTCAAACGATATAGCCAAAACCCAGTCCAAAAATGGGAATCCAAAATGGCAAAATGTACTGATGGTCATTGTTTGTGGGTCAAAAAATTGTTTCCTTTGTTTTTCCATTTAATTTTTAATAGTATTTATTTATTTGTCTCTGTTGGGGTTGGATCATTTGGACTCGGCGTTTGGATTGGTCAACAAATCCCGTTCAATAATACTCCAGTGGTGGGTGGTGTCTGGTGGTCGGCATCTCCTTCGCCCTTGTGTTAGAAGGTCGGTGTTGGTAGAGACCGACGTGTGTTAGGGTTGTTGTTCGTCCTTCTTTCGTCTTAGATCCTCTCTCTTTGGTAGATATGGACTTAAGTTTCTTCTCTTCGTTAGATCTACTTAGTCGTTCTTTTGCAGAACTTGAGTTTCTAGGTTTGAGACTGTTGGATTTGTAGTTTGGGTTTGTGTTTAGACTTAAGGGCTTCTAAGTGTGTTGGTTTGTGCTACAGAGGTCATTGACAGTGTCTTTTAGTGGGCGTTTGTCGAGCCTCTGGACTTCTGGGAAGGCAATGACATCGATGATGATTGAAGTGGCAAAGATCTTAGTGTATTTTATTGTTATTATGCTCTTTTTTTTTTCTTTTTTATTTGAGTCTCCTTAAGTGGAGTAGTTTAGTCTTTTTTTGTTGAGTATTTTGTCTCCCTTGTTTGGGAGTTTTTAGAGGGAAGTTCATATGTTAGTGACCTCACTTGATTTATTTCTTTACAGTTGTGAACAATTAGTATGATCCTTTGTAACTAGTTGGTTACTGGTTGTACACTATTGAGTTTAATATATTTGTATTTGTCGTTTGTTAAAGAAAAAAAAAAGCACTTGCATGTGTGTGTGTGTGTGTGTGTGTGTTGATATCCAGATGGGCAAGAACATTCTCCTTAAGACACGTCCATGGTCCTGAGACTAAACCTGTTTGAGATATCATACCGGGTCAGCCAGACCTCCGAAACCAACCTACAGAACAGGGTAAGTTGGTAGGACGAATAGAGTCGGAGGTCAAATGAAGAACATCACCAACCAGAGAGAAAGGCAGTTCGAGCAACCTCGACCAAGATTGGGGATCACGAAGAAAACACGGCAAGATTCAGACAACCAAATCAAGGCTCATACACATCTGTATTGGATGTTAATTAACTCAAAAAGAGGTTTGCAGGGATGTGAATGGTTGGAAAAGAATGTCAAAATAATCGAAAAACACAAAAAACCGACAGTGAACAAGGAAGAGTCGGCTGGCAACTTGGGACTGTCGAACCGAAAGGTGGCCACCCTTCACGCCCACCCTATGTTGAACCTTTACAATGTAATAAATAAATGTTTTTTTTTCCCTTCACGGAGCATTAAATTCCAGCAAAGATGATGATCGATTGCAAGTTTTGGATAGAGACTAGAGAGTTCAAACTATATAGCCAAAACCCAGTCCAAAAATAGGAATCCAAAATGTACTGATGGTCATTGTCTGTGGGTCAAAAAATTGTTTCCTTCGTTTTTCCATTTAATTTTTAAGGGCAATTTATACAGTTACGGGTATATTGAAACAAATTTTTATATTTGCGATCCTATCAACTTAACTGCATACAGGCCCGTCTTAAGGGGGGCAGCTGGTGCAACGCCCAAGGGCCCATGAGGCTGGGGGGCCATGAGTATACTGTATATACATATATAGTAGATGCATTGGCCAATTTAAGTAATAATTAATTTAACCTCTAAGCCCAATAACATCAACAAAATCAATTGATAGATGCGTGTCCTTCAGGTCCAGGTAAATTTTACTATTGTTTTACCTTCTTAAATGTACTGCTTTTTTTATTGGCTAAATATACATTGCAAGTTATCTCTTATAAATAGTACTATATACTCCAATTGTTATATTCAATTTTTAATTAGATTGTCGGGCCCTTAGTGTCTTGCTTGCCCAAGGGCCCTCGAAATTGTTGAGACGGCCCTGACTGCATATATACAATTTAATTATATCCTATTTAATTTGTTTCCTTAATTTTCTCATCTTTCTTTTATCTCCTCTTTAATTATCTTTCTTTACATTATCTCTCATATCCCATCCGTTTCATTATCTTATTTTTTTTTATTCTTCAATCTTGACATCTCTCTCTCTCTCTCTCTCTCTCTCTCTCTCTCTCTCTCTCTCTCTCTCTCTCTCTCTCTCTCTCTCTCTCTCTCTCTCTCATTTGTTTCACTTTTCATTTCATTTAAATTTAGTTTTCGTTTTCTCTTCAATTAAAATTGATGTTTAACATTTCGTATAATTTCAATTATTTTTAATATTTACATTTACATTGATTATTGCATTAAAAAAAAAAAAAAAAAAAAANCTCAAAGCATCCTCATCATTCTTCCATACATTGACAAAATATATACATATGGTTGGGTTAACTGTACATATATATACATAAGATAAACAACATATAAACATATTTTTTATTTTGCAATTACCTGATAACATGAGAACAAAAAGTGTATATATATACATAAAATAAACAGCAAATAAACATCTTTGATTCTGCAATAAGCTTGTAACATGAGAATATAAATGTATATATATATACAAATGATAAACACTCTATAAACTTTTCTCAAATGCAACATATTTATAACATGACGAAAAAACTGACGCTATATATATATATACACATAAGATAAACAACTTATAAAATTGAGACGAAATCATCGTCGTCGGCCGACTCAATCTCGGCGGGTTCGGAATTGGTGCTTCCTTTGTACGGGTAGGAGCATCCAGTTTTGGAAATTGAAGCTTTTTTTTTTGTACAACCTTGCGTTCGGGAGGTCGAAATTGAGATCCAATTTCTGAAATTAAACAGTCCTACTTATTCTTCACGATCTTCTTCACGCGGCCAACGTCCACTTTCGGTCCGACCACACCAACACGGCGATCCGACCACACCAGCACAACGATCCAGCCAGCCCCAAAAACATTCCAGCCGCGTGCGCGGGCCAACACCAAAAAATCCGGCCGCATCAATTTCGTAAGATTCATTCTATTTCTCTTGAAATTAAATTAATTGTGAGAAAGAAATAGAGAGGTTGGCTATAAAGTTGTTATCATCCGATCTGGTAATCCGGGATTATTCCCCTGAAATCATGTGTTAGAAGAGTCAGTATTAATTCCGACCTAAACCCTGACCACTTCGGTTTATACTACGACCGAACTCCAAGCCGATACAAGTAAAACCGGCCCACTTATTGAAGACCGAGGTGACCACCAACCGAGGTCATCATACCCAAAGCTGGTGACAAGGCGCAAACGCGACACCTTCATACACCACAAGATATCCCATCATTCAGGCAGGACCCACTCACATGGCCGCCCAACGAAAAGCCACTTTATGTAAAAGCAACCGTATGCC